GGGAAAGAGCACCAGCACCAAGGAGAGACAGGAGCAGAGTACATCCTTTGGACCCAGGCATCCTCCCTGCACTAAGAACCTTCTAGACCCAGGAGACAGAAAGAATGCTGTAACACTGCCTGGAGAAGGCATGAAATGGCATGCAGCAGAACCAAGAGACCAGCGTGAGATGGTGCAGGAGCATCCTGGCCTATGGAGCAAGGTGGTTACAATGGATGCACGGAACCACTGAATCAGAGAGCTGAACACCTTGGGGTCGAGGCTTACTGGAGGAGGGTGTGTCCCTGGGCACTTATAGGCAGAGCTACAGAGCTTTGGAGTCCTGGTGTGGCACTGTGGGTTAATGCGCCAGACTGCAAAGCTGTTTGAACTGCAAGGTTGGCGGCTGAAGCTCACCAGCCGCTCATCAGAAGCCCTATCCAGGGTCGCTATGGGTCAGAACTGACTCAATGGCACTTAACAACAACAACAGAGCTTTGTAACGTTTACCCAAGCAGAGGCCAGACCAAGGGGCCAAGGCCAAAGAGAGGCCTACCTGTGGGCACAGGTAAAAGGAGGCTGTCTTGATGACAGAAGTCTATCCTGAGTGGTTTCCGATCCTGACTGATAACCAGTTACTTGGCTAGTACGCCCCATAGCCATAAGCATGGTGAGTTCTGTGTGGTCACTGCAACAAAGGCCTGAGCCCAGCAGAGCAGCAGACAGTGCAGCAGGAGGGATGGCTCTGTCATAACCCGCCTTGGGCTGATGCGATGGGGTTCTCCTCCATTTTTGAGGAAGGCTGCTGCTGTTGCTACCACACCGTTTTTACACTGGTAAAATGGCACATAAAGGTTTTCCAAAGAGCCATACTACAATGTCTCAGGAACTGTCCTCTCTGTGTTTACCAGAGATAAGACTGAAAAAGGGTCAGGAAATCTATACCAGAGCTGAAGTTTAATGTCCAGAGATCTTGCATTTTCCACTCCATCAGCAAATGCAGAAAGGCTTTTCAAAGACCAAGTTCAAACACATCTGATATCAGAATTTCCCAGCCTAAAACTAAGAAGACACTTACTGAGCCATTCTCTCTTCCAGATGGAAAAACCAGGACCAGGGTAAGACCTGGGATTTCCATCTCACCACAGGCAATGGTTACAGGAAGGCAGTGGATTTATTACTTACTCAATCACTCGCGGCTCTGGGGCTCTGCGCACTCCCTGGAAGGAAAAACAGGTAGATCTTACTTCTGGAACCTAGCTAATACCCAAGGAGACTACTTACTTGACCTAATTCTGGTCAAAACAAATCAGATTTAAAAGTATCTCTTTTTATTTCAAGCAGTCACTACCTCACCAAAGCCCATTATTTCTGGTCTTCTTATAATAACTTCATACTTGGTAATGAGCAGTAAAAGCTGATACAATTACAGATCATCCATTTTCCTAGAAATTAGTAACTCTGGAAAGACGTTCTTTATAGGAAAATTTAAAATCTACAATAAGAGGTTTTAGCAATTATTGATACAGTCATTAACAGAGCAAGATACTAGACTTTAAGGGTTGCCTCTCATCTTATTTAAAACAATGAATACACATACAACCCAATGACTAGAGAAGAAATACAAAATCTAACAGAACTATAACAAGTGAAGTCATCAAATACCTTCCACTATAGACAAACCCATGACCAAATAGCTTCACTGGTAAATTCTACCAAACATTTAAAGAAGAACTAACATCAATTCTTCTGAAACTCTTCCAAAAAAAAAAAGAAGTGGTAACTTATTCTACGAGACCAGGGTGACAGTGGTATGCTGGTCCACTGACCGAGAACTGAGGAACAGCGGGCCAAGGCTTACTGGAGAAGTGGGTTGCCCATAGACACTGACTGGCAGAGTGAAAGAGCTTTGTAACATTCCCGATATCAAAGCCAGATAAAAATATGACAAGAAAACAAAACTACAGTTAAATATCCCTATGAATATTGACCACAAAATCTTCAAGAAAAGATTAGCAAACTGAACTCAACAACATATTAAAAGATTATAAACCATGTGTTGGTGTTTAATGCTGTGGAGTCACTTCCAACTCACAGCAACCCTGAATAGGGTTTCTAAGGAGTGGCTGGTAAGCTGGAATCGCCGACCTTGTGACTCAAACCCATCTGCAGTCCAGTGCATTAACCCACAGAGCCACACCAGGACTCCTTTATGTCCTTCTCCAGGGACTGGTGCCCACTGGAAACATCTCCAAAGTATGTGAAATGAAGTCTCACCATCATCACTTCTAAGGAGCATTCTGGCTATATACCTTATACCTCTTCTAAGGCAGATTAGTTTGTTCTTCTGGCAGTCCATGGTGTATATTCCATAATCTTCATCAATACTGTAATTCTTGAGTTATGATGTTGGTGGAGAATATTGAAAGTGCTATGGGCTGCCAAAAGAACCAACAGATCCATGTTGAAAGAAGTGCAGCCAGAGTGCTCCTTGGAGGCCAGGATGGACAAACTTCATCTCTCATACTTTGGACATATTGTCAGGAGGGATCAGTCACTGGAGAAGGATATCATGTTTGGTAAGGTGGAGGGTCGGAGAAAAAGGGGAAGACCTCCAACGAGATGGATTGGCACATTGGCAGCATCAATGGACTCAAGCATGGCAACAGTAGTGAGGTTGGCCCAGGATCAGGTAGTGCTTCGTTCTGCTGTGCATAAGGTCGCTATGAGTCGGTACCGACTTGATGGCACCTAACAACAACAACAGTTCTTCAGGCTTCCTTATTCACTGTCCAGCTTTTGCATGCATCTGTGGCAATTAAAAATACTATGGCTTGGAACAGATACACCATGGTTCTTAAAGTGACAGCAAACAGCATACAAATTCAGTCTGTATGCTAAGCAAATAATCCAAGAAACGAATATATAAAGAAGAACAGGGCATCAGAATTAGAGGAAGACTCATTAACAATCCGTGATATGCAGATGACACATCCTGACTTACTGAAAGGAAAGAGGACATGAAGCACTTACTGATAAAAATATGGACTGACTCCACCACTCATCTGTCAATTTGTCATACCGTGGTGGCTTGCATGTTGCTGTGATTCTGGAAGCTCTGCTGCAGGTATTTTAAATACCAGCAGGGTCAGCCATGGTAGACAGATTTCAGCTGAGCTTCCAGATGAAGACAGACAAGGAAGAAGGAGAGACGGACTACTTACAAATATTTAGTCACTGAAAACCTTCTGAATAGCAGTGGAACACTGTCAGTACCAGAATACTGAATACTGAAACATGATGAAGTGCACCAAAATATAATCAGGAATAGTGCCAGAAGATGAGCCCCTCAGGTTGGAAGGCACTTAAAATATGACTGGGGAAGAGCTTCCTCCTCAAAGTAGAGTTAACCATGATGATACAAATGAAGTAAAGCCTTCAGGACCTTCATTTGCTAGCGGGGCACAACTTAAAATGAGGAGAAACAGCTGTAAACATCCATTAGTAATTGTAATATGGAATGTAAGAAGTATGACTCTAGGGAAACTGGAAACTCAAAATGAAATGGAACCCATAAACATTGATATCCTAAGCATTAGTGAGCTGAAATGGACTGGTATTGCCATTTTGAATCTGACACCATATGGTTTACTATGCCAGGAATGACAAATTGAAGAGGAGTGGCATCACATTCATCATCAAAGTGAACATATCAAGATCTGTCTTAAAGTACAATGCTGTCTGTGATAGAATACCATCCCATACACCTACAAGAAAAACAGTTAATACCACCATTACTCAAATTTCTGTACCAACCACTAAAGTCTGTGATGACGAAACTGAAGAATTCTACCAACTTCTTCAGTCCAAAATTGATCAAACATGGACTTCCGGTTTGCCAGGGCAGCCAGACAGAACGGGTGAGAGGGGCTCCGGGTTTGGGGTAGGGGAACTCACGAAAGAAACATTGCTGTGGCAAACCCACACCCTTAGAGCCACCATAAGTCTCAGTACGTCAAAATCTTAAACTCGTTTTTTTTTTTAAATCACCATACTGAGGAACTACTGGCTTTTTAAACTTGTACCTGCCGCAGCGTGCAGTGACAGCCCCAACTCCTTTGAGCTTGGGGGGCAGGGCTGGAACCAGCTCATGCAGAAAGTGGCGCTTCTAGTAACGGGGAGCCTTGAACGGGGGAGTCACTGGAGACAAGGGGAAGAGAAGGTGAGGGACATCTGCCCTAGCGTGTAATTTCGGTGCTTGCAGTGGGCAGAGATAAGTCAGTTAACACAGAGAGGAGAAAGAAAAAAAACAAAAACAAAAAAACCTCGGCGACTGTCTGACTTCATCAGGCACAGACTGTATTCGCCCAGCCGAGCGGCCTCTACCCCTCCCAACTGAACCGCACTCACCCTCCCCATTATCCCCTCGATCCCCACACCCCCGCCTTCCCAGACCCCAACCAAACCAGACAGCGAGCACCCACCGGAGCGTGCCCTAACCTTTGGAATGCACACACACCCTGCTGACCCCGCCCACATGCTATAACAAGCGAGAGCCCCGCCAGCCTCCTAGAACCCCCGTGGGACCCACCCTGTGTGCCGGACCGCATGCGAGCACCGCGCAATGGGTTAAGGCACCACATTGCAAAGCTTTTTGAACTGCAAGGTCGGTGGTTCAACCTCACCAGCCGCTCCTTGGAAACCCGCACATTCAGCCCAAGCTGAGACATGGATGTGCATCTATTTGGGTCAGCCTTTGTTCGCTGGTTTGGCAGGTGTCCCGGCGTGGCTCTGTGGGTTGGGGCGCCACACAACAGAGCTTTTTGAACTGTAAGTGGTTCAAGCTCACCAACTGATCCTCAGAAGCCCTATACAGGGTCGCTACGGGTCAGAATTGACTCGACAGCGCCTAACAACAAGGAGAGGAGGGCAGAAGTGACTGAAAGAGAGTTAG